GCGGCGTAGTGTGTTACTGATGGTAGCCTTTGTTACTTTGGTCCCAGCTCTCTGCAAGTCATTGACTAGGTCCCCCCGTGTGGTTCTAGGATTTTTGCTCACCGTTCTTGTGATCATTTTGACCCCACGGGGTGAGATCTTGCGTGGAGCCCCAGATCGAGGGAGATTATCAGTGGTCTTGTATGTCTTCCATTTTCTAATAATTGCTCCCACAGTTGATTTCTTCACACCAAGCTGCTTACCTGTTGCAGATTCAGTCTTCCCAGCCTGGTGCAGGTCTATAATTTTGTTTCTGGTGTCCTTTGACAGCTCTTTGGTTTTGGCCATAGTGGAGTTTGGAGTGTGACTGTTTGAGGTTGTGGACAGGTGTCTTTTATACTGATAACGACTTTAAACAGGTGCCATTAATACAGTTAACAGGTGGAGGACAGAGGAGGCTCTTAAAGAAGAAGTTACAGGTCTGTGAGAGCCAGAAATCTTGTTTGTTTGTAGGTGACCAAATACTTATTTTACCGAGGAATTTACCAATTAATTCATTAAAAATCCTACAATGTGATTTCCTGGATTCTTTCCCCCCATTCTGCCTCTCATAGTTGAAGTGTACCTAGGATGAAAATTACAGGCCTCTCTCATCTTTTTAAGTGGGAGAACTTGCACAATTGGTGGCTGACTAAATACTTTTTTGCCCCACTGTATGCCAGCATTGACCCTTATGTCCAGGCTGTTTCTTCTATACATGAGCCCAATTGTTGCTGATAATGATATGATGATGATATGAATAGGCCTATTCCTTTTCTGTCACACAGCTGATTTTAGGCCTGTCCAGCATTTTATTTGCGGAAAGATCAAGCAAATTTTCCTTGGAAATTGAAAACGTACTGTGCAATTTGTTGTAACCATAGAACTTTTAAACGGTTACCCAAGTTTCTAAAAATGTTTAGTGTACACTTTTTACTCAAACATTTAAAAACATGTTAAGCATATACAACGGCCCGCTTTCAAATAGGTTTTTTCTCAAGTATGCTAATACAGTTATGTATTGTACAGCACTATAACATCAATTCTGAATACTTTCAGCCCCACTGTAGCAGCTTCTCCATAGACCGTAGTACAGTGATTGCTGTGGGAGGCAGCCAGCAGATCGTCCCTCCTCCACAACCACTGCATATTCCCATCCCAAAGTGGAATACAACTCCGGTTGAACATCCTCCAGACAGCAGGTACATCTTTCTATGTTGTGTAATTCTAAGCAGGAACAGTTGAACTAATGCTTTAATGTATATGTTGAGTTCTCTCTCCTTTGAAACAAATGCATGCTGCTTTTCAGTGATCAAGCTGGTGAGGAATTCCTGAGATGCATCGCAACAAACAAGCCTTTGCCAGACTATCTCAAAGGGAACATGGCATACAACCTGGCTGAAGCTTTTAAATCGGCAAGTGTCCTGAAAGAAGCAATGAAATCAAATCCTGAGTTCCAGAAGAATACATCCAGGAGCAGAAGCCGCAGTCGAACCCGCGGAAAATCTCGAGCCAAGAGCCGTGCAAGAAGCAAAAGCCGTTCGCCAGACCAAAGCGGACGGAGCAAAAGTCGTGCTCGGGGCAAGAGTCGGCCAAGAAGCAAGAGCAGGGCAAGAAGCAAAAGCAGGGCGAGAAGCAAAAGCAGGGCCCGCAACAGAAGTCGTAGCCACAGTCGAAGCAAGAAGAGTCATGTGCGGAGCAAGAGCCGGGTCAGGAGGTCAAAGTCACGAAGCAGCAGTGCTGAAAGGAGGCATGGAAAAGACAAAAAGAGAAAGAGGAGCACCAGCCCCAGCTTTGGCAGCAGTGTTGGCATCAGTCATAATCTGACGGAAAATAGTCTGTTAAAAGGACTGAAGCTGGTCATGAACAGCAAAGAACTGGAGGAGCGGATGCCCACTCTCAAAGATGCCATACTTACTATTCAGGTATGGCTCCTCATCCATTTTCTAAAATGCTCTGTGTCAACCAGCACAAAAACTGGGATTTATGAATAATAGCATCTATGTAAACCTGGACAGAAGTATATCTAGTGTTTTATTTTAACACTTGATCTAAAAACACGATGACTGTAGCTGTTAGTGAGTTAGGGTGAAGATCCGCCACAGACCTTGTCAACTGCTGTAGGTCACAGTAGTGTAAAGAAATTACAACATTTATTTAAAACGTCACAAAGAAAAGCAGAACCAGATTACCCCATTTATATCCATTGTGCATGAAAAACGCAGTCCTTGAAACATGAATATGATACAAACTGCCAAAATGTTGGGAATGCTCTTGTCATTTACACACATTTTAAATACAGTAGGTGCTGGTGACACAGATGGGAAGCTAGTCAATAGAATCCTGGCTATATTCTTGTGTTGGTTCATGTTATACATTTTGTTTAGCTTCATATCAAACTATGGCTTATATATCAACTTAAAAAATAGAATTAGGCCAGTGGTGGTTTTATTGTGTTGCTAATTATTCTAACTTCTCTCCATTTCAAAAAGATACAGACCAAATCATAACCATTAACATCTGGGATTTACTTTTAGTTATGGTATGGTGGCAGCTCTCAGTATTGTTGTTAGGAGATGTCAGGGTGATGGGCTGCCACATGGAAGACACTCCAAATAGTTATGGGTTTGAGGCTTTAATCCGTGCTGGACTTGAACCTACCAAGCTAAGTCTAAAGGCCCTGACACACCAAACTGACACCAAAGAACATGTCCCGATGGAACACGACTGTTGTGTCGCCTCACGTCTCCTGCTTCTTGGCCAACAGTCGCACTGGAACACACCGCAAAGTCTTTAGCCGACGGCCAAGTAGCACGTACGAACTGCGCATGCGTGAGTGGCAATAACTCTCCTTACCAGCAGGCAGCGGTAGTGTGTATTCGTCATTCAAAAGAGGCTACAACCGGAAGACAGAGAAGAAGAACAGACTCCGTGATATAAACAAACAACAAATATCGTGTGCGTTCCATTTTCAATCTCGTCCATCGAAAACATGTCTCGTGCGGTACTGGAGCTATCAGCCATTGGAGTGTTGCTTGCGGAAGATATTCTTTGTGCCTTCTTAAAGCGTTTCTTTACGTCCCTCACTTCCGTTTCGCTTCTCATACACTGATTCGCTAGCTGAACAGCCAATCAGTGATTTATTTTGCTCGACTGCCCGACCCGACGCATGGCCGATTCAACATGTTGAATCGGCCATGCGTCGGCCATGAAAGGCCAAATAAGGCGTGTCACGGACACACCAAATTGAGTTTGGGCGACAGGGCACGCTTCGTCGTCCGACTAACGAAAACGGCCGATTTCGGCCTGGTGTGTCAGGGCCTTAAGACCTATTGACTGAACTACTAAGCTGCAAGGTCCAGTNGCACCTAACTAGATAGGGCACGGCTGGCTTGAACGATCCACTTGATAACCCGCGTCGTAGTAGCTACCGTTTAGCGAGAGCGCGTATGTTTTGGATTAGGCCAACCGGCTAACTCAAACATATCCAGGTTAGGTTGAACCAGCTTCGTAGTACAGGCTTCTGGACTAGGTTTTTTTTAATTTTTTTTTATTAGGATCCCCATTAGCAGTAGCATGAGCATTGGCTATTCTTCCTGGGGTCCTCACCCACACAAAACATACATAATACAAACCAGAACAGAACAACTCATCATTTCATGAAAAGTGCATGGTAAGGAAGTGAAAGCAAAAACAAAACAGAAAAAAATAGTCATCACATTTTAGCCATCATCAAGTCAAAACCTAAACAAAATTTTACCAACAATATAATTTACATGATAATACTAATTACTAATTACTAATTGACCCACAAGTACAGTTCAAATTTAATTTGTAGTTCTCAGATATTGTTTTAGCAAATGTTTGAAAGGTGGTTCACAGAGAGGCATACAATAAAGCAAAGATGATATCAATACATTTTTCCATCTTTACAACACATACAACTAAACACACTCACACATTAGAGCGGAATAGGAAATTATAAATCCAAAAGGTATGTTTTCTGTCATTATTAAAGTTTACGAGGCCAATCAACAAAAATGTAATTTATACTAAAGATTATCTTATGATAAAAGTGGGTTATTTGACTTCTCACGTAACTCTCTGCTGTCAGCAGCTCCTAACAGCTAACCAGTGCAGCTAAAGACAAAGACATACAATGAGCCTTGTGGGTGAAAAAGTGTGAAGGGAAGGACACAAAACATGAAATGAACACTGACAGATGAGAAGGGAGGCGTCACTGTGAGGAAACATTCTTTAGTAAGCCTTCATTTATTTGCACAAAAATACTTATTTGCAAGGAACGCAATTTTTTTTCAAGTTTATTAATCCACTACCTCCGTAAGGACCAAAGTAAGGAGACCGTAGTTACATCATATTTCAAACAATATTCTTGTCTTACATGTATCTGCATTATATTTTCCATAATATGTGTATTTGCATCTTTTTATGGTTGTGTCTATGTGCATGCATACTGTGTAGATGGAGTATTTATAAATTTGTATTTGTATCTGTTCATTTATCTGTATGCGTGTGTGTGTGTGTGTGTGTGTGTGTGTGTGTGTGTGTGTGTGTGATCAGATTCACCTATTCATTAAATGTTTTCATATCAGTTTGTGTTTTATTGTGCCAGCCTGCTTTTTTTCTTCCTCTTGTGAAACATGGACAAAGCCGGGTGAAATTATCGCCAGTCCTTTTAAGATTCTGGATTATGTTTTTAAAACTACAAGTTTTTTTTTCTTCAGCACTATCTTCCTTTTAATACACTTTTATTATCGTACCATTAATACATTTTTTTGATATGTCTATTCTAAGCCGTTTTTTTTTTTGCCTTACTGGTTATTGTATTAAATGTGATATCGATTTTCTGTGAGTATTTTAAGAGATGTCTACTGTGAAGCACTTTGGACTGAGATTCTTGTATGAAAGGTGCTATACAAATAAAACGTATTATTATTCATATCATTATGTCGAAATTCCATGCAGTTATTTGTTTCAGGTTATTCATTTCACAGCAGGAATCTAAACTTTTCTTAGACCTTTTTGATATGATCTCACTTTTCATACAGCTATTGGTGAGAAAGTTTGCTTGAGAAAATGTTTAAAAAAAAATAAAATACATTTGGAAAGGCTGTGTGATATTATAGTTTCAGAAATACTGTGCTGACAGAAAAGCCCTTGCCTCCTGGAAAATACCAGACTCCCATCCTTTATTAACAACAAAGACAGGTCTCTCATTGCCTCCAGTCAGGACTCACTGTGAGGAACATAAAAGCAGCACTTCTGAAGTCTCTCAACACAGGCAGCAATTACATTTGCCACCTTAATGTAGTTTTAAAGATATATAAACGTAAGATATCATAGATACAGCACTACCCTACAGCATTTGACTTTCTATAGTGCTATGTGAAGGACTCTGCTATCCTGTAAACTGTCTTCTTTTTGCTATCAAATCAAGTTTTATTTATAAAGCACATTTAAAAGCGATTTTTGGTCGAGCCAAAGTGCTGCACATGTAATAAAAACACATTACTACAATCACAATAAAAGACAATCTTTCTAGCCAATGCACTGCAAACCCATGAAGCATTCATCTGATCTCTTGATTGCAATAGCATTTGACTCATTCAAATGATGTGGTAAACACATTTCTTTATTTCAAAATGTCAAAACAGGAGACAGACTTGTGTGTGATCTTTTATTTCAGATAAAAATACAGACAAGTTGGAAAGTTGAACACAACTGCAAAATACACACATCACATTTCCATCACGGTACACGGTAACTGGTATTAATACAATCATTCAAACACTGACTTGAAACATCAAACCAGGATGTGGGGGTTAACTGAAAGCTTACTGTACAGCAACATATTCATTCTCATTGCCAAATATGTAGGAAGCAACAAAGCAAAATAAGCATGCTGACATTTTGGAACATTTACAGCCAAAGAAGATTTTCAAAATGTCACCTGTGCGTCTAGTAGAGATGAGTCTCGGATGTGTTTGGAAGTAGCAGAGCAAGGAACTTACTCCTCAAAGAACTCAAAACTTCAGGCGAGAACCCTCTCAACCAGAATCACAAAGATAACATTTATATTAATCTTTATCTAAGGGAAGTGCACTTCCTTACACCATGAAAACTCCTTCCTCTGCGGATCATATCTATAAAAAATAACCATGTGGTTCTCAGTGTAGGATCAAGCATAACTCAACACTTAGGACTTCTCCTTCTTTTTCTTCTTATCCTTCTTCTTCTTCTTTTTCTTTTTAGGGGATTTGTCTTTCTGTGTTTTACCTTTGTCATCATCACTACTGTCGCTGCTTTCATATTTTACTAGGCCTTTCTTTTTTCCGCTGCTGTTGGATTGATTTCCCTTGCAGTCAGTGTCTTCCACTTTGATTTTGTTATGACTCCCGATGTTCTGCTCCTTGTTTACCTCCTTTTTGGCCCTCCCTTTAGGAGGAGGGGTCTGTCCACGAGACACCGTGATGAGGAGCCTCTCCTTCCTCATCTCCTGTTTCAAGGACATGTTTCCCATGGCGTCCCCGTGGCTCCCGCCCTCGTTGTGGTTTTTGTTTCTGTGATCCCTGTCGTCCCTCCAGTCTCGCTGGGGGTCTTGCTGGTGGTCTCTGTGACTCCTGTGCTCTGCTGACTCTCTGTATTCAGAGCCCCTGTGGTCCCTCCTTTCTGAGGGTTGTGGATGAGCAGAGCTGCTGCTCAAATGGCGCGAGGGTCCCTTGCTGTCTTCAGCATTCCTGTCCATCCGCACTTTATGCTAAAAACACATAAATAACATGATTTTCCAGCAAAAATGTTACGGTGAGTGTACATTTTCAATATATAAGCTATGGCATTATTTAAATGAATTTGGGCATAACTTAAAGATTGTGAAAAGGTAACAGGGTTCAGGTTATTTATTTGTTATTCTACCCGTAAATAGATTTGGTTTGCAAATGAAACACATTTTAAAACACAGACAAACAAATCTCTAAAAAAGGACCCCCTGCGCCAACACATCTGAAAAGATTTTAAAACCACTAGTACAAACATGAGCAATCAAGAAAGTTAATAAATAAATACATGAATATGCATTGCATTTAATCGTTTCTGCCAGTTAAGATTTAGTCCAAAAAACAAGCAAATGTAAAGCGACACTGAGCATACAGTCTTCAGTGTTTAAATACAAATATTTAGTTTGGATGAATAAAGTTACATAAGATTCTTTTTAATACAACGAAGTGGACATTCTGGCCTAACGACTCACTATAACTTGACTAAAGACTGCAAAGATCAAAGAGTTTTAAGCGGCCTTGAGATGAACGGGAGTTATACTTACACTGCCCGAGTTCCCATGGTGATGGATGGCTGCATGGGTTTCAGCACTACTCAAATCCCCAATGAACTCCTCACATTTCTGACAGTAAAACCCAATCACTGGTGACAGAAAACTCAATCCTGCAAAGAGAGAAGACAGACAGTGAAGTATGTAGAGTATTTAACGCTAAAGGATACATTCATCATAGGAGACTGCCTTACCATCCTGTTTTAACAATCCTTCCAGCTCATTCATCAAGGATTCCATTTTTTTCATCCGGGCTTGTCTGTCATTCTTCCCTTCCTCATTGTCACGTGCCTACAAAACACATGCAACAATTCCAAAATAAATCAGGGGTTTTGTGATTCTTAAATGCATCCAATTGTATCACTGTCAGTAGCACAGCTTGAAAATCAATACCTTGTGATTATCAGAGGATGTCTGCGATGTACCACTGCCATCATTTTGTTCACGCTTCTCCTTTGTTGCTTCAAGAAAGAAAAAGAACAATATAATCCTCTTAATCACATCGTAAGCATTAGACAATAAAGTCATAGAAGATAAATCATTGATCCAGCGGACTTCAGTTGATACACCTCTTATTTCATCTTATCCTTGGCAACTGTAGAGAAACAGATCAGAAATCAATTGTGATTCCAAATGAGACATTAGAAAAGTATTGCGGTATACAGCATTACATTTCTGTCGTAACAAAAGAGTGTTCAAATCAGAGCAGTATTTATGAGCTGAAACATCTCAAGAGAGAGATATGGCACTAAGCACCGAAACTGAGGGAATGAATCCGCCTGTACTTATTAAGGTAAAATAATAACATGTATGCGCCGTACTCTGAACCTAGACAAACTATATGTCGCTCACCTTGTTAATGGCAGCAGCACCACACTCTTTCCGCTCTTACCTTTCACAATAAAAAGCTGCATCACTTCCTACCATTTCGCCCAAGGCCAATCAACAAAATAGTTTGCAGTTTAGATTGCACTTATTTATGTGAGGATTTAACCAGTTGTTAGCAAACATGGTTATAGTTATTGTTGAAATGTGATTGGTAGTTTGCTGCCCTGATAACTTGTTTAAGTCACTTGTCTGCCCTGTCCATGGGAACTGAGAACTGTGTTTCCAAGTGTTATTTTTTAACAAACCTTTTTTCCTTTGGACCTACTACTAAAGACAATACACTGCATTTTGTCTTACACAGTTACTTCTGCTGTTCCACGTACTGGGGAAAGTAAGTACAAATAGTTAACATTGATACTCTGGTTACTGGGGATAGCTACCGATAGTCAATGGGAAAAACGAAAGCGCAAACCTCTTCCTGTTTTGGTTACACAATTGTTAATGCACATCCTTTTTGCTTTAATTCAAATGGGGAGATCTCATTGGTGGCAAACAGAATTACAGAGTAAAGGTGAAGCTTATAAGGAATACATCTAAACGCTGATGGTGTTGTTATTTTAACAGCCATTACATTTGGCAATCAACATTTATTCAAAATGATAATTTAAAGCAAACAATTGTTGCCGCTTTAACTCAATGAACAAGCTGATTGAAGAGGTGATGGCATGATCAGTTAAATCAATCCGTGTAAACACAGTATTCTTACCTTTGATCAGTGACTGTAGAGACTGCAGAGCTTGCCGTACATTAGGGTTACCCAGCTCGGGCAGGGTTAAGGCTGCTGCTGTCTGCTCTGAACTGGAAGGTGCAGGAGACCGCTGCTTCTCCACCTTTTGACCCTGCATCTTCCCCATGATCTTGCCGACGTCTACTGTGTCCAGACTTTTTAATATGTTCTTGATCTTCTCACACTCACTGCTGTCCAGACTGGCAGAGGCTACGCTCGAGGAAGTCCTTTGAAGGGTTTGCTTGAGATCAAGCATATCCCCAAAGCTACTGAAAATGGGTTTGTTCTGTTGACTGCCTGAACTATCCATTCCCTGTGGTTTGTATGCTGCAAAAAGTGTGGTGGAGGATTTATTGGTTTTTTTTTCTCCAGTGTCTTCATTACCGTACAAGAACGACTCTTCATCTTCAAGCTCCTCAGCCTTCAGGACTGCGGATTCCTGCTGACTCTGCGCCTGCAGCCAAGAGAAGTCGCTCCCTACTCTGTCATGGGGAAGCAGCATACTGTCATTTTCCAATGATGATGAATTATCATTGCTCTCATATTGCTGATGTCGTTGCTCTTCATGAACACGCTCCACTTTTCTGCTTCCATCTGAACCCTGCACAAACAAAATTATAACAAGGACATACAATTAGCAGATAGCAGCTTCTTCCCTTTGTTATCTTGTTTGGCTATTAATTCAATGTTTTAGGAAAAAACGACGTACATGTCTATGTTTGCAAATGTTTTATACCAGGAGCTATATCCATGGAGGTGGATGTCCACTGTGCAGAATGTGGTATGAACAGTGTTGGCAGTAACACACTGGACCTTGCAGCTTAGTAGTTCAGTCAATAGGTCTTAAGGCCCTGACACACCAGGCCGAAATCGGCCGTTTTCGTTAGTCGGACGACGAAGCGTGCNCAGAGAACAAAAATTAGCATTTTTGTCAACTTTAATGTGGTCTAAAAAACAAGTACTAAGTACAAACATGGCAGACTCATAAACTACTTATGGAAGAAATGTTTTTTAGACCACATTAAAGTTGACAAAAATGCTAATTTTTGTTCTCTGGAGAGGACTTTGAAACTCAAATTACTGAAAAAGTACACAGTAAAAGTAGTTCATATTATGTTTGCAAGTAGTCCTAGAAGTATTAAGTACAAACATGGCAGTTTCATAAACTACTTATGGAAGAAATGTTTTTTATCCCACGTCAAAGTTAGACAAAAATGCTCCTTCTTGTTCTCTGGAGGGAATTTTGCCATTCTCAAAAAGTACACAGTAAAAGTAGTTCATAGTATTTGTGGAACAAGTTTATGAAGCAATAAGTCCTACAATTATTCTCATAAATTACCCTGTTCCTCAATCGCAAATAATAGAAATGAACCACATGCCATCCTCTACTTTGAAATCCAGCTTCCCAGAGTTGTTTTATTGCATTACCGTAAACCTGTAACTAATCGCGCACTCGAAATACAGGGGCGGCTGGTTTGACCAGGCAAAAGTGAAAGACGGCTGGCTTGACCGCAGTAGTTAGCCGGCTAAGCGAAAATCCTGCTTCGTAGTATACCCCCCAGATCAGTCGTATTCTGATATTTGTTTCCTGAGATACTCGCAGATACGGCCTTATTAATTTAATGGAGATTGATAGTGGTTTGATTATTATAAGGAGATATACGCCGTCCACTTTCTTGTATTTTTAACCAATTAAAAACACAATAATATAATATTTCATTATCCTTATTATAATTTGAAAGGAGACACTGTGCATAATGAGCACTTTTACTTTTAAATGACTTAGATGTGGCTGATAAAACGTCTTTACTTCTACTTAGGTGCCATTTTGAATTCAGTACTTTGACATCGAATGGAGTATTTGAAGACCAAAGTGTTTTAGCTTTTCTTTAAGTAGAGGAGAGGATTTCTTCCACTGCCTGACTGACTGTGGTGTAGTCGAGATTATTGGACCTTTGTCTCTCTGTTCCCTTTGTTTGAATGAGTTTCCTCCTGTGTGTATTGGTGAGAGGAGGGTGTTGAATCTGTTTGGAGACACCTGGGACCTGCTGGATATCCTCCTGGATCCTCTTCATAAGGTGTCAGTATGGTTAGTTCATCTGTACACAGCTTGTCTGTCTGTTCCGGTTGTTGTTGCTCTTCCTAAGTGTTCTTTACTGTACTCTGCCACTTTAAGCATGGTCTGTTCCACTTTATTCTACTCTACTAATCATCATCACTTTTCTTACAGCTGATTGGCCTCTTCTGGACTAAATAATGTTGTTTCTTTATATATTTCCATAGAAAAAGGATCCCCCGGCCCTCACCATGTCCCCTCCTGCAGTCTAGGTGCTTCACTGAGATTTTGGTTAAAGTGGACCTATCATGCTATGTTTTAATAATATATTGTAGGGCCCAGTGGCGGCCGGCCCATAGGGGCACTAGGGATGCCGCCCCACCTCTTCCCACATTACAAAATTAAAATTAAAAAATATATATATTTTTTTAAATATATATTTTTTTAAGTATTTTTTTTTTATTTAAATTTTTAATGAACAAGGTAAATATTATATATTTGGTATCAGTAAAATGTATAATCTACAATA